CTTGGCAAAAAGAAATGCAAACTGTGGAACGCTAACATAGACAGTAAAGCTGGGGACACACTACATGATTTTTTTGGCAGATTTTTCACTCGGTTCCCAGTCGGGGAAAAGTCGGCTCTAGTTGCGGTCAGTTGGCATCCTTTCGCGAGAGAGTGGATGATGACTGGAGAATCGACCCGAGCTCAGTGGCAGTCAAACAAACATGTTACAATTATTATTTTTTTATTTCTTTACATGAATCTGGATGCAGGTGGGAGAGTGAACTGATTATTGATCATAAGCGCCTGTTGCTGACAGCCAATGCAAAAGAGAGACTGGGACACATTTTTTTTTCCACTTGAAACTATTTAACATTGCAGTCAGGGTTTAAAATGCACCAGCCTGGGGCTGGGTTTCCAGCTACAAAACTAAGCAGGCTGTTGATCCGTTTCAACCCAACTATAGTTAATTGACTACTGCAGATGAGAAATGAAGCTCATGTTGTCTGGTCCAATTACTAACAGTAAAGCAGCGTGTAGAAAGTAACAAGCATTGTGTTCGGTTTTTGAATCAACTCAAATGGAGTTGGGAGGGATGAACTGGCACTGGGGATTGGCCCAAGGCTGTCATAATTTAACCAAAAGAAATATTAGAAATAATTTTGCTTGACCATGATAGTCCACTGGTTGATTTTCTTGAAGGACTTTGGGCTAATTCAATGAAATCTCTCTGCCCTCCTTGGCCCACCCTTTCCTTCCCCTTTGACTAAATTAATCTTGTTATTTGAGATGAACGGACGTGGTGAGAAGTTAGTGGGAGTGGGTAAATTGCAAAAGCACAAGGGGGTGCAAGAAAAGATGGCTGAAAAACGTGCAAATTGACTCAGCAAAATGTGCCAAAACCACCAACAGGGTGGATGGTTAGCACACAGTCAGACAGACACTGGAATGACACAGAAGAGAGTTTTGATTTGTTTGTAATAACAAACAAACTCTGGTCCATTTACCATTGAACAAATGTGTTCAAATGTCTGCAATGTCTGCACCCACCTTAAATTTTAAATCCTAAACTAGCATGTTTCATTTGTTACTGTATTCACATTTTAGTCACAAGTAACATACCTTTTTGTAATGTCATCGCTTCTCTGTTACGTTCTTCTGTTGTTTTGTCTTTTACGTGCCTCCCGGTATAATGATAATAAAGACTGTTCTCTTATCCACTCTTGTTTTTACTTCACAGCATTTTGTTGTATAGTTTATCGCATTTTATTATACTGGCAACAAACCTTTTTCATTTGAACATATCCAATCAGTAAAGCAGAGACAGGATTTCAAGTATAGATGGGATTTGCAGTCAATGTGGTTTATGAGACTCAGTCAATTGCAACTTTAACAAGAATTTAATTCCTTTTAAAGATGCGATTTACATTTTACAGTAAATGGAGGTTAGGCCATGTGGTGATTAGGTCACTCTTGCTTACTACTGAGAACAGCTATATGGGGTTATTTGCTCTTTGTCTGGGACTCCAAAAATATTTTATTCCACTTCAAAATTTCTGGATGATTCCCTGTATTTTGATTGGCTGAGAGCACAGCTGGAAGAACAATACCAGCACACCAATCTTCTGATTGATCAGTTGTTTTCAGAGAAATATTCAATCTGATCCAGAGCGAGCTATCGTGGGGACTATGTACTATGTTTTCTTGACATACATTTTTACTTTTGTCTCAAAGGTTATCTGTTTTGCTGTGTTTAGATTCTGATGCTATCAGCGCTTTACTTTTTCTTTAATCAACGGTATTCTTAGATCTTAGATCAGTGCTTTTGTGCTTTTTGTGTTTCAATCTGCTCCAGTCAATCACAGCAGATGGTTGCTTACACTTAACAAGGTTGTGCTGAAGGTTGCTCCCTGTTAAATGATGTGACTAGTTCACACGGCAAGAGCTTTATGCCAATGTTTGTCCTGATTTCCCCTTCCGACAATCTCAGGGACACCCGGATTGTCAGGATGTCTCTTTAGAGCATCTAATGAGATAGTCCTGCCATATGTGGTGTGTTAAGAGTCATCCGGTCCGCTTGGAAGGACCACGGCAATCTTAAATCGGGGATATTCAACATGCTGAAATGTCCTGACAAAACGACAGACGAGCCTGTTAAATGTGACTTTTACCCAGTCAGAAAGTGAGGTGAGGGGAAGGGAGGCGAACAGAGAAGACAAACAAATTCGCATGCCACACCAAAATGTCCAGCGGACGCCTCAGATATCTTTTTTATTTGTATTTTTCTGCTAAACATAGTCCACAAACTATGAGCATTGCGTCTTCCCAGTCTGCCATGTTTGTTTATTCTGAAACCACTTTTGGTCTCGAGAGGCGTGGCGAGATTTTCTGTCTGTCATCTGAATGTTGGTGAGTGAAATCAGTTTGTGTGTGGCTGTACACTGTACAACCAAACCCGTTACACCTAAGAGTTTTTATCATCGTGCTCGGGGTCTATCAGGTTTTGAAAGTCAGCCGATAATTTTGAAATCTTGAAGCATGAACCAGGCAGTAGTTGTCTTCTCCACTTTTGTGACACACCTGTTCAGTGTAACGAATGTCTGTAAGGTTAATAACACCATCACCAGCACGACTAAATCCACTGTTGATAGTTGCTTATTCAGGAGGTTATATTGCTGCAAAGTCGCTGACTTGGTTTCCCTAAACAAGGAAATGTTTTTTTTTTTTAATCAACTTTTATAGCTAGGATTAAACCAGAAGATGTGTAATTGACTTTGAATCTGCCCGTCTGACTGGACTGAAAGGACTACCGGTATATATTTCTGCATGCAAACTGGCTTTTTTAAAGTTCCTTGAAAAGACATTTGTTTTGATTTGTTGCTGTATAAATAAACTGAACTGAATTTAAATAAAACAAGTTGCTCAGAAAACAAGAACTTCAGAAACACAATATCTGCGCACAACTCTCTACACACAGAGTGTCTTTTTTATCAAACTATCCCAAGAATGAGATTCATTTAAGACCTGCACTCTGTTCGATTTGTAACAGCTGTTATTTGGCGCAGCTGTATGAAATGCATGTAAAGAAAAACACCATCTCTTCCTCTGTAAATGTATTATGTCTGCTTCACTGATGAGCTGGCTGCCCACCTTTTGCAAAAAATGAATCATGTGATGATTATCATCAATTCCTATTATTCTGTGGCATTTAGAAAACAGAAAGAACATGATCTTCTTGTACGCTCCCTTCCTCACCTTTTCTCGAAGATTTATGGGTACTGAGAAAAAAGATGAGTCACCTGTACAAGCCAGCCAAGTGGAAGAAGATGAAATAGGCATATTAAAAAAAAAAAAAGTCAAATTCATTGTTGAATTAGATTTAAACAGAAAAAAAAAAGAAAAACACTAAACTCTGGTGTAGGAGATCTTCACATTGTTGAATATTTTTGTTCGATTTTAAATCTACACTTTGTATTATGTACACACTCTTTCAGTCAAATGGCATAGGGGGAATATTTATGCAGAACAAATGGAATGAAGTTTTTTTCTAAAATAGAAATACTTTGCATTCACTTTCAATCGCTGATTAGCCAATAGTTAATAAATAGCCAAGCTACTTCCTTCACAACAATCATTAAGTCTGGTGATCATCCTTTGAAGTCAAATTAAATAATAAAGTTCATAAATAACAAGGTTAATTTTTGATATAAATGTTAGAAGACATGAAAATGGTACCTACAAAACATGAAAGTAATACATTGGCTTTTGATGATGCCTACATTATAATTATACAACATCAGGATACAATTCCTGAAGTTAGAGGCTGAAATGTCTGCTTTGTAGATTCATGCATATCATGCATCATCATGCTGCGTTATGTCATTGCACACCTATTTTGTTTATGGAAATATTTAGACCTTAATTGTCTGAAATACCAGTGATTTTTCTCCAAAAATGTTTTGGTGTAGTGCATCTAAAAAAAAAAAACCTACAAATTTAGAAAATCTAATAATTCTCTACAAAAAAGAAAAAAAAAAAACTTGTGATTTGTGATTATCATGTCACACTACAACCACATTTATGTGGCAGGTGCAGTAATTTCCTTTGTGGGACACCATGCTTTGTTCACTTTGAAAGCTTTCCCTGTGTGCACAGAATGTGTAATTTAATGTGTTTATTCAAGGGACCTTGCACACATTCTCTTTTAATCACCGGTAAATAACAACCCCTGTCGTGCCATTGTGACATGACAGGCACAGTAATGGGCTTGTTTCACATTTATTCATTCGATTTTGGTCTTAAAAACTGCTTTTAAAACATTATCAAGTTTCTATGTGGAGGTGGAGTGGGGCTTTCTCTAACAAAGCCTCTTATTCAGAGTCCCATCTAAGAAGTCAATTACCACCATGCTGCGGGTAAGTGCATACAATTACTTAAGATTAAGCACAAAATCTTAATCTTTAAGGTCAATATTAGAGATGCACAGATCTGCATTAATATCTGTATTAGTTCTGATATTGAAAAAGATGATAGAGCGGGAATCTGTGACAATGTGCCCAATCCATAAAGGCAAATCTATTCAGTCTAATTTTATGCTTTGTGCTCTGAGCAATGTCATGCTTTCTTATTTATTTTATATTATAGAATTCCTAATTGCACTTTCTAAACCATTTGAAAAAAGTTTGTGTTGCATTTCATTTTTACCTGTTAGACCTGTGTAGTCAACCTATTGTTTTTGTCAGTGTCAGTCTTTATTATTTATTTTACATTGGCTGTTGTACTCCTAATTGCACTGGCTTAACAAATTAAAGTTGTGTCGTTTTTGCTTGTTTGACCAAGATTGTGAAGACATTGTTGTATTTGCGGGTGCTGTAGTGGTGCAGAGTTATCAAATAAATTTGTAATTCAGTATTAAAAAAACCCCAAACATTTTAAGTCAATTCAGCGCTTTTTAACTGTATCGGATCGGTATCGGCCGATACTACACCTCAGATATCTGTATCGTATTGGAAGTGAAAAAAGTGGATGAGTGTATCATTAGTCAATATAACATTTGCTGATGCAAACATACTATGTATTATATGCTTTACTTTCTACAAATGAGAAAAAATGACTAGCTTTACTGCTGCAGTAAAAAACGCAGCTTAAGACTACATTTTTTTGTTGAAATGGAACATTTATGCATGGAAATTAATTATTTTTCAGAATGCAAGAGGACTTTTGAATGAGAGATGTATAGAGTATTCAGGGACTTAATTAACACTCACACTATTGTTGTGCTCTGGGTGAAAATAGATAAAAACCACATCTTCCTGAGAAATGTTTCCCTTCACAGTCAAATATGATTCAAACAACCCTCATGTTGGCATTTCACAAGAGACAATATACCAAGCAATGGGCAAAAAGGAGTAGTTTGATTGTTCTGACTAGAATTTATAAGCCTGCTACACCGAAACCCTGAACAAAACTGAGCAATCTTCTGGATGAGAGGTTAAAACATCTACAAGAAATCCAGTTGCCCTCTATTCTGAAGCACTTGGGATTGTCATGTCCTGGAAGAATGAGAGTATACCTATGTGTCACTGCAGCATGTGCTACACCTTGGCCTGGCTTGAATCTGCTCAGAAAGCCTTGGCCTGTCATAGGCCTCTGAGTTAACAGCTCAGTTGTCTAAAGATGTGTGGCCTGTATAACTTCAGGAGTCTATAAAGTGTCCATATATGCCTGTCTCAGAGTTTCTAGTCATCATCTGGTCCAGATTCTGCAGATTTCTGTTTCAAAAGTATTTAAAGTGACTGAGCTCATAGCCAGTCAGTGATGAGCTGACTGGTCCTGTTTGTGTCCTTGAGTCTGCAAACAAACATATTGTTCCACTTGTAGAGTCAGTTGGCAGTTGGTGTCCTGCCTTGTTAAGAGTCTTATCTACTACACCGGTCCTGAAGCCTGCAGGTTTCCAGTCAGTCGCTAACACCTCAGGGTTAGCGACTCACTGTTCTGTATGCTGCCATGCCAGTTCCCTGAAGGGTCACTGGCATTTCCTGTTTGGTCACTTTTCATGCTGCCTCCTATAACTGTGTTTTCAGTGTGCTCAGTTTCCCTTGCTGTGTATTGTCTCAGTCTTTCTAATCCCATAACAAAGCAATCAGGAAACCTTCTTTGTACGCGAGCATTGAAGCACTACCAGCTCGTTTGACAGCTGTTCCTCATTCGGCTTTTTGTGTTTGAAACTGAGGCATATGGGTTCCGAATTTTCTGTCACAGAATAAGTAAAATATTTGTGAATGCATTTCAGTGAAAAAACGTGATTCATGTTTGCAAGGAACTGAACTGCTTTAATTTAAACTGACAAAAGGGTCAAAAGACACTCCTTCTCACTCTGGTGAGGATAAATAATGCTTATCTAGTTATGGTAATTGTAAACCTGAGAAACTATCTTTCATTTTATGTGACTAACCTTTTCTGTAAGGACTATGGCAGTTTTATAAAAATGCATGAAGGCCATCTTGAGACTTGCAAAGCAGTTCTCCACTGATTGATTTATTTGCACTTCTTAGAAAATGTTGTCAGCAGCCTCAAGATTGCATAATTTTCAACTAATCCATCAAGAAACAAACCAATCTACAAAAACCCTCATTTTTATAAATGTAGTCATAAAAACTAGTGTGTAAGAAGCAGATAAGCCTGTATTTTGGATTTCTGACAATAAAACAATTCATTTTCAAAATAAGACGTTTTAAAATTGTAAATTAATACATTGTAAATGTATTTTCACTTTGGAAAAGCATAAATATTGCCATGATGTTTCCCAAGCTGTTTAAAGTTCAAATAATTTGTCTCTTATAATCTAATTATTGATGATTGATTGCCCACTTTAAATGTATAAATGTGTTGTGCATTAGCGTCAAGATATACTACGGCTACAAACTGAGGTAGACTGAATAAACATTTAATAGTCCCTTCTGCCCCACTAGCAATATAAGTGTACAACTCTTTCTAGCCATTAGGTGGTATTTAATTGAATTTTGTATTCCTCATAGTGGCCAAATGGAAAAGATCCAAATTAATCAGTCCTTACTTAAAAGTAAACTTCTGGCTTTGCTAGCTCTTCCGAAGCCAGAGTAGCCGTGTTCTGCTTCATACTCCTAGCCTCAGGCATATGTCAATAAAATAAAATAAAATAAAATAAAATAAAATAAAATAAAATAAAATAAAACTTCTTGAGATCACATTTGTCATGATTTCCAGGTTAGTCGGAATAAGCTGGAAGATGAAGCATATTGCTGCAACACATCTGTCAGAAGAACAGGTCTTAATCACAGTGGACAGGTCATCTCAGTTAAAAAGAGAAGCTGTGCACGAGGCAAAAGTGTTCCACATTTCTGTGCTCTAGAACGAGTGCTGTATAAATGTAACAACAATTAGGGGGTGGGGGGAAAGCTCACATGCATGGTCTGAGTTTACACCATATGTTGTTCCAAAAACATGATATCGCCAACAATGCAGATGATCAACGTTATCGTTCACAACACTTCCCTTTGTATCAGGAATGCTGCACACACTTCATATGTGAGCATTTACACTTCAGCTTAATGCTTCTGGGAAGATCTGCACCTTTGTGACAATATACATGTTCACTGTGACATATACTAAAATTTTTACAAAAAACTATTTCAGTCGTTGTTTAATACTGAACAATTCTCAGGATTATATAGGATGAACTGCAGTTAGAGTAATTCAATTATTTAAAATAAAATAACTGATATTAAGTCTTCTCTTTAAGATATCTACATTTAAAGGTCTGTCTGAGATTGAATGTGTGGCTTTCTCGTTTGAATTATAGCTCTGTAAAGCTGTAGGAGGAGACAGGAGGTGTGTCAATTTATGAGACAGTTTGACCTAAAGCTGGTAGTTAGGAGGTGGTGCAAAACAAGCCTGTATTTCTGCAGTGTGTTTGGAGATTATTGACTCCACCATTGATTTTTGGTGGAAAAAAGTCAATGGCAAATAAATTAGTATTCTTGCCCTAACACTAACGCTCTATTTTCATATACTTGTAGCTTTCCTCTTTTTGCCTGTGTATTTCGGTGCACAAAAATAACTGCCACATGTACAAGAATGACTGTTTGTCCAGAACATTTGATGTAATGTGAATAAACAGAATGCAAAAATCATTCATCACAACTTGATTGGTTCAGTGATGTTTAGTTGTAATTAGGCTCTGGCAGGCTGACAAATAGTCAAGAAAGGATTTTATTTCAAAACAATAAGAGTCATTTAATCAAACAAGATTATGTGGGTATGTAATACATTTACCTTATTTACTTCAAATTAAATAGTAAGCTTTGTGTGGTCCTTGGTATTAACAGTGATGACTCCACTTGATCTTCTTATGCCACTTTTCTGGTGAAATCAAGCTTTTATCTAACAGAGGTGGAATAGCTCTATTGTCCACATGTCTGAATACAAACAGAGTATAAAGATGGGTGAGTGAAATAGTCTGCTGCACTAGTCTGAGCCAATGAACTAATCATGTAAGGATAAAAAAAAAAAAAAAAAAACGGTGAAAAAAAATGTGGCAAACAAATTCTAGAATGTTTATTCATGATTTTATCAGAACGCTAAAAACATTGACATTTAACAGCAAAATATGTAAACTACAGTGTGGCACCTCAAACGCAGGAAGATTTATGTTAATGTGTGCGTTGGTGAGAAAAGACTCACAGCATATTCTATACTGTGAGAATACCTTATTGTGTTCAGTTCCTTTTGTTTTTCACTTCATTTATGAAAGTTGTTTCTCATTTTGCTTTCGTCTCATCTTGCCTCATCTGCTGGCTTGTAGCGCCTAGTTTTCAGTTTTAAGTCAGTTATTTTACCCAGCGCATACCAGAGATATCCATAAGTGGTAAATCCAAGTCCAGTCATAACTCTTTTGCCAGCTCCAAGTCGAGTCTTGTGTAAAATAAACATTTCCACATCAAATGCATGATATGTAGGGGTAACAGTGATTTGAAAACCTCGATTATTAAAATTCCTTGAGGCAAATTATCGTTTACAAATATAAATCATTTTGCTTATTTTAATTGTTTGGTCTGATTTGACCGCAGACAGAAAAATAAGATGTCTACTTATTTGCAGTATGCAAACTTCTAGTTTCAGTAGGAGCTACATGGTCCTGTTAGTATATTAATATGATTTCAATTTAGAGAAATATTTTTTGAAAGCTGTATGTAACCCAGTGTTAAAAACACAAGTAAAAAATGAATAGATGTTGATTTAATATCTTATTCTACAACGAGATTAAAAAGTAATAAAGTTAAAAAAAAAATATATGTTTGTAAATATGTTTATAAATATTGATAAAAAAAGTGCTAAAAATCTAAAACCTGTGAAATATCCCTTTAGTGATTGCTTTTAGTGACGGATTAAACAACCAATAACTGGCACAGTCTGATTTCACATCAGCCAATCAGGTTGATTGTCCCGCCCCTTTAACTGCGTCGCTGAGATTTAGCTCAGACTGCATCTAAAACCCTTGAGATCTGAGAGCTGACGGTTGTTCCGTAAATTGCCTGTAAGATTGCTTTAAATTATTTGAAGAATCCTGGAAATTGGTAAGACAATGTTAAAATAGTATCGCAGAATTTATAATTCAAAATAGTGAATCTGTTTTTTTTTTAATCAGATCTCAGAAAGCTTCTGTTCTAACAGCTGACGTACGGAAAAATCCCCTGTAGTTGTGTAGCATTGAAGCATCGGTGAGTAATCGCACGCGCTCAGCCGTTGGCCCAGTAAATTCGCTAAAAATTGGCTAAAATACCTAATAACTGTTCAAATTTAATACAATTGTATTGTAAACTTTATATCATTATTATTGTGTATGTTGTATTTTTTCTAAGTAAATTTACTTCTTTTTCTATTAGTACATATTTTAATATTTCGACATTGTCAATGTCATGGTACTGTAATGTGCTCTGATTACTTAGGAACTTTCTGTTCTCTGTAAGTCAGAGCTAATGTGGGTTTCTAATCCACATTTTGAATGTTAGATTTAGTGTTATAGATGTACTTTGGCAGTTTTAGATTGAAATTTGAATTGTTGCTTAAGCTTTGTTGATATTAGCATCCTGAATTTTAAGATGCTTTACTATGACCTTCTTCCAGGTCAGGTTTTTTTCTTTATGGTGCACTTTTGAAGCATCGTGCCCAGAGACATCAAGATCACCCCCACATTTATTTAATCTAAAAACAGAACTGAATGGAGAAAGAAATGAAAAGTGAACCTGGACACCAGCGGTCCCCAGAGCATTAAATGTCTTATTCTGCTGTTTGCTTTGTGGGGATGGTTATTGTTTTTGCTCAAAGTGTTGCACAAGGTCAGCTTTGGTGTTGCATTCAGCAGCTGGTGACACTAGAAAGGTTATCACCTCTGAGGGCCTGTTGAAACCAAAGAGGCTTATAGGCAGCTCGTTTAGTGGCTAACCATAAACGAGGTGTGTTTTAAGGTTTAAAATGTATGTGGAATCCCATGGAGATGTTTCCACATAAAGACAGTTACAAAGTCGGCCTTCTAACACCTGAAGAACATTTCCAGGATTAGAGGACTAGTGTCTCAGCAAGAACTAGAGAAACTCATCCATGGATTTATCTTTAGTTGCATTGATTTCTGCATCAGTGTCGTCGCAGGTTTGGATCAGCTGCAGGTTTGCAGCTGATCAAGAATGCTGCTGCATGTGTTCTCACTAAAATCAAGAAGATAGAGCATGTCACCCCAGTTCTAAAGTCCTTACACTGGCTCCCTGCAGCTCAGAGGATAAACTATAAAGTACTGTTGCTAGTTTATAAACCACTGAACGGCTTTGCACCACAATACATTAAAGACCTGCTGTTGTTGTATCAACCTTTCAGACCTCTCAGGTCTGATCTGGTCTGCATCCCCAGAACCAGGACCAAACGAGGAGATGAAGCATTCAGCTTCTTTGCACCACAAATCTGGAACAAGCTTCCAGAAAACTGCGAAACAGCTGAAACACTGAGTTCCTTTAAATCTAGACTAAAACCCAACTGTTTAGAGTTGCTTTTAATCAAGAAACAATCAGTAATCGGAAGTACAAAATGTAATGTTGTTGACTGTGTGTTCTATGATTTTGTATTTTTGTGTTTTTACGACGTAAATCACTTTGAAATGCCTTGCTGCTGAAAGGTGCTATGCAAGTAAAATTTGATTGTTTGATTGATTCCACAATTCTGAAGCGGTTTCACGAAGTGTGACCAAAGTTGATAACATCGGTGAAAAAGAGGCATACACAAAACCTGGAACACTTCATTAGACTATAAACCAAAATTCAGATATTACCATATTTAGACTTTTAAATACAAATAGGTTTAGTCATGTTATGAAGGACATATATAAAATACAGGGAAGCTGCAAAGCATTAGTCTGATTTATGTGATGAAATTATTGGATTGAGGTGTCAGTATTCTATGTATTGTGTGTTACACAGAGATTCACAAAACAGGCACTTCTGTCATCTAGTAAGTGGTTGTATGACATTTAAAATTAGCACAATGCTTTTTAAAAAAAATCACTGCAGCTGGCTTCTTGGCAAATTGTGCAATCAGCTCCATCATATCAAGAACTGCAATCATCTACACAGCTGGGGTTCTCCATGAACTTCTTCCACAATATGTCAAGATAATGTTACAATTGTTTCCTTTTTTTCAGTGACAGTTGATTGTGTTTCTTCATCTTGATTGGATTCAACTGCATTGTCAACTGAAGTCGTTTTTATTTATTTTGTTGCCTCTCACAGGTGTGACTCACAATTGGTTCTGTGCACTAACACAACATTATAAGCCAATAAACAGCACAAAACGTACTAGTTTAAACAAGGCTCAAAAATCCTAAAGTGGCCCCAATTTATTGTGGCTGACATCATATTATTTGTCTCGTCTTTTACTGTCACAATATACTGAGAGTTTTAACAAATGTATCAAAAACATATTCTTCGGATGCATTGTGGTGCAGGTGTAAAGTGCATGACCCATATACGCAGGCCTCAGTACTCGTGGCAGCCGTCATAGGTTCGAGTACTGACCTGTTGACCTTTGCTGCATGCCTTCCCCCTCTCTCAACTGACTTTCTGTCTGACCACTCTCAATTAAAGTCCACTAGAACTAGAAGAAAAACACTAAAAAAACAAATAACAAAAAACATGTTCTTCATAAGCCCTTAATGCAGCTCTAAAAAATAACCCCCCCCCCAGAAATTAAGCTAATCTTTCTACATTTTGCAATACCTGACAAAAGGATGACAAAAACATGCATTTTGCTTATGTATCAACAGTGCTTGAAGTGGGGGATATACTCCCTTCTAAATTTTTGTTCATAACATCATGTCCATTCCTCAAAAACCCGAGGGTATATAACAAATTCTAAAACTTATCACCATAGATGTAATAAAATGACTGCACTGTGCAATAGTTATTTTTGAGCATGTTTACTTGGTATTTGTTTGCATAAAATAAATCTACTGTAGTGTATCTGTGCTAATAATAATTAGCGCAACAACAATGAGCAAATCCCATTGATTCTTTTCAACTTGCAACTACAATGTGATCTACTTGGGTATGTGACTTAAGCTCCAGATGTGAGCTACGACTTCCAAGACAAATCAGACACAGCATGAGTCATTGCAAGCTTCATGCTTATACTGATTGGCTCAGATTTAGGGAATCGGGTGAAGCATAAATCATGAGGAATGATGATTAGGTAAAAGTTAGACAAAAGGAGGGTTGCAGAGGACGATGTGAGGATATGTTGGGGAGTGATTGGTCTGTGATTGTGAAGCAGAATACTAGCATTTTTTTTTTCCCTAAAATTAATCTGAGGAAGGGAGCTGTATTACTGAATTGGTTGTGAAACAAAAGGGGGTCAGGTTTTGCTTGTGAAACAAATTTAAGGTGGTTATGGTTTGGTTTTTAATGTACAGGCTTATTTAAAAACAGAACACTTGGGATAAGAAAGTGTGTTACATGAAGGCTGCTCAGAGGAAAATACAACTTTGCCTAATCCCAATTTTGAAGCATTTATTGAAAACATTGTGTTTCTGTGTGGTGGCCAGACATTGCTATTTTACATTTTGCAACTAAGACATAAAAAGTAGGGTATATAGCTGAAAAATTTCTGAAGAAATTTAGATGTGCCAGCCAGTTGGTTGGAACCCAGCGTTCTGATGCTAACAATTAGCATCCATACTAATGTAGCATGGAAGAGAGAAAACCCAATGCATTCTACCAAAAATCCCTCAGATGTTAACTTTATTTATGAATTTTTATTTTTATTTTGTTTTAATTGAATTGTCTCTCATTTTTATCTTGAAATATCTTTTAATCAAAATTTATGTAATAATTTTGGGAAAGTTTAGTTTTGTTTAATTGTTGCGGTCGTAACCCGTGACGTCACTTCTTCCTTCACCAGAATAACCTTCCTCCTTCCCCAGACCACTCCTGGATGGTTTGGAGGAAGGTGAGTTTCTCACCGAGTTTCTGTCGACATGCTATTTAAAAGTTGCTGTAGATGACAAAATGCTTCACTATCTTTTAGCTAGCGTGTTTGTATAATGTTCATTTCAGTTTTTATTGGCAGAGGATGGAAAGTTTTGTCGAGTGTTGGACCTTAGAGTTGCAGCATGTGTGTGAGCTATGCAGCGTGCTCTTCCCACGCTGTGCAGCAGGATTTTTTTTTATCTTTTATCTTTGTTATGGGCAGGTGGACTGATGTTTACTGAACATTTTCTGTGCGGTTGAAATGTTCTGTTCTGTGTAAGTATGTTGTGCTTATCTGTTTTGTTTTTTTTATTGCGCTTTCCTGCTCATTTTTGGAATTTTATATATTTTATTTTCACAATATACACATTGTTATGCATTTTGATTATTGGTTAGAGGTCAGCCAGTGGTTTGTGTTTTTTTATTTGTTTTAATCTGTAACATAATTATTTATTAGCACATAATGCTGGCATATAAGAGCAGACCATTCCTTGATGCTAAGGAGGAAGGTGGACTGATGTCGGCTGACCATTTTCTATTCTGCTGAAATGTTAAATTCCATTCTCTCCAGAGAATGCTAACCTGCAATTCTTGAGGTGTCTAATTCACAACGCAGTGTGGTTCGGCTGGAGTTACCCCCGGACCGGTTACACTAAGGCAGTGGTTCCCCACTGGGGGGGCCCACTTTTTCTCCTGGGCCCCCCCAATGGTTTCCAAACTATTTCTATTCTTAGAGACTCCCTGTTATACTCCGCCCCGGCTCCAGACAAACAAGGAGGAGGGGGTGGGGATCAACTTTTTGGGGGGCAAAATGA